TCTGCATGATTCTTCGTGGAGGAAGCTATCCTATAGCTACTGATAATACAAAAAGTAACGTTTCATAAGAAAATTGTCCAAATTTTCAACCTAACCTAACCTAACCTAACCTAACTATATGGGATACCATGAAATCGAATACTAAACTGTTGAATACGAAAGTTATCTGCATTTTTTCATCTTTGCTGCAAGAGTTTGTTTGGTTTTTGTACAATAAATGGAAAAACGTAGAATCAAAATTATCTGTTTGCAAGCTTTCGGTATGTTACAAATTTATTAACATTCGGATCATTTAATTCAGATTATTGTTTTGATCTTTTTTGTTTATGACAATAAATAGAGGAATGAATACATTCTCTCTGTTCTTCGGGATAATCTCATGGGAGAGGTTTTGTGTCTTACAAAAGTTTTCAGTTACTTTTTTATTTTATCTAGTAATGCTTTCGAAATGTTTATGTCAACAGTATAAGGATTATATCGTTTATTTAAAAAAGAGATAAAACGTATTTAATGAGTGTATTCTTTTGTTTACAAAAAACAAGGTTAAATTTGAAATCACAATGTACTTCTTATGTACAGAGTTGGGCTACGTAAAACAGGCCATTTAATTATCTTCTCCAGCTATGGTGGTACGAGAAAATTTTTGTACGCAATTTAAATGGTTTCAAAAGGTGAATACGATGGAAGCCAAATTTTGTTTATAAATGCCATTTTTCTGTTTGCTCTTTTTTTTTTCAAGGCGATCTATGTTGTAACAGACATTGATGTGCATTGAAACCTGCATAATAACATAACCTTAAAATGACCGTGGACTCTAAAATTTTAAATTAGATGTGAAATTTCCTTTCACTTTTTGCCATTTCTTTCATCAAACAAAATTTTCTTCAATTTTATTCACCCTTTAAAACCATTTAAATTATGTATAAATTTTCTCGTTCCACCATAGCTAGAGAAGATAATTAGATGGCCTGTTTTACGTGGCCCACTCTGTATATGAAGCAAGAGACAATCTTAGTTTGTCTAAATGATTGTTCTGCGGAATTCTTAAGTTATATATGAATATTTCTAATCAAAATAAGTGCCCATGTAAATAATCTTCTTCTTTAATTTTGTTCAGTTGTTATTATTGATCGTTCAACCACGATATTTTGCATTGTTACCGTTGCCTTGTGAACTGCGGAACCTCGTTAAAGAGAGATCAGTACAGTAAAAGCTTTGAAGGGTGAAGGACATTCAAACTGCGGTATTTCAAAGAAAGTAAATAAAAGTACGAAGATTGTTAACAATTTCTTTAAAAATTCTGGAAGAACAGAAAGAACTGCGACAGAAAAATTTGTGCACAGACGAATGTGTGTATTATTACAATCTGAGACAAAGGAACGAAATTTTTTTATTCTTTTTTCCTTGTTTCTATCATCATTTATATTACTCGGTTCCGTTGTGATAAGAAGCACAATTTCCTACTTTGAAATACTTGATTCAATAATTAGTGAAAGAAAAAAGAGCCAAGAAAATATTTAAAAATTCTTGAAAATGTGTTGGAAAATATTCACTATGCTGTGAGACAACAAATTTGAAATTTTTGATATGATAATGGTTAGATACAACTCAGCAGATACTATGAAAGTACAGTATCATGATAATCAGCATTATCTCCTAATGTAAATATTGTATTACAGAGTATGTATGGTGATGGTTTTCTAGATAAAATTACTGTGATGAAAGGCAACGTCAAAATTATTACATGCTTCACTTCTCCGATATTATAGGAAATAAAATCAAGCATACTAAACATTAATCAATAAAGACTTCATTTTTTTATATATTTACACTAATTTTGTAAAGTAATGCTATTCGTGTCACACGTGTTATATACGGATTTTGTAATCTCTTGCCTGTGACTTTACGTAATACAAGCATTTTTCACATTCTCGTTAAATACGTACAAAATCTAATGTAAACAATAGAATCAGATGTCTTTATCTTTCCTATCATTTATCATGTATTAAAAAAAAAGAAATACAAGCGAGACTATTCAAGCTAACAACAGTGTATAAACCCATCTCGAAAATATGGCTGCATTAATCAATGAAAAGTGAGTTATACAGAGATGATTCTATCGTGCCAATTTAGCATCATTCATAGCTTAGTTATCTTTGATAAATGTCGATTACTCTGTTTTCCGGTATGTACGAACAAAATAGTTCAGTGTAACGAAATATCCTCAAAATAATACGTCTAGGAGTGAATTTATTTGAATGGACAAGGTTTAAGATATAGCAACGTGTTTACAAGCAGGTTTAACGCTCGCAGTATAGTTTGTATATACTATAGTGCGCGTTACCAATTCGTAGCGCGAGTCAGAGCTGCGAGACGCGTGCTTGTATTAAATGGCTTTAGTACAACACATAACATCAGTGGATATATGTATTTATTCGAAAGCATTCATTAGAAAATACAACCTTATTGCACAATGGAAGTACATAGTAGACGATGAAATATTCTTAGATCACATAAAGTTTACGCAATTTGTACCGTAGCTTCTGCCTCAAGTAAAAACTTATCATTAAAATCAAAGATTTTTTTTCCAACTGTTTACAATTGCGATAGAAAATACGCTCTTCTTTCTCGTCTTGCTCTTTCTGTTTATATCATTACTATTGCTGTTGTTGATTTTTGCAATTTTATCAATAAATAGGTGCTTGCCGTTATCCGCAGTTGATCGAAAATTCTTCGATAACGTGACTATTTACCGTTCTCTGCATTGTGGTAAGTGCATCGAGCCGTGGCGACCGAAGGCGTTTTTTGTTTTGGTTCAAATTTCAAAACGTTATGAAAGGCAGAGAACCACTGTCGACAGACAGTCGCTATGTGTGTTACTATTCTCGGTCAGCGGCATTCCGATAAGCTGTGTGCCAAATCTCGGCCTAATACTGGACGAACGACAATGTTCAGATCTGAGACCGAAATTCTGAGCTTCCCAGATCATTTTTATTTTATCGTCGTTTTTTCTGAATTCATTTGCCTACGTGCATCGCTTCATGTTAGGAAGCCATTACTCGACTACGTTAATCAATCATCGGGAAAATTTCACGTCACTAACAGTTGCACGTATATTTGAATAATTAATTAATAGATTCATGTTTATTTATTTCATTACGTTTGGACAAGTACTATTGTATTAAATTAAATAACACACAGAGAACGTAAACTCGTTGTTAATTTTAAACATGCATTTGATTTCAGTATTATCTAACAGTCAAGATGTCCGCTAACTGATTCATCGACATACATTCACGCGAATACTTATTTCGAATAACCCAGTGTTTATTGTATTTTGTTTACATTCTTACACGTTTAAAACGTACGTGCATATGTTTTATGAATGTTTTATCACCTTATCGTGGTACAATTTGAACGTTTACTTTTCTTATCGGCGACTGACATCATGCAGTTTAGTAATCCGTTTTAAAATATGCCTTACGTTTCTAGAAAGTCAACAAGGTACAACGTGAAATCTATTGTGGCAGTACACGAGCATGCAACTAGGTCCTTGCCGAAAACAGTTAAATAAATCATACATCAATTTTTCATATACTTTTCTACATTAGTACAACTCTTCGCTTTCACTTCTACTTTTCCTTCCGATTTCTCCATCTATTCTTCCCTTCAACAGTCTCAAGGTTTTGCCAGCGTCAGGCTGACTCCACGCGTATGTGGCAGTCAGAACTGCGTGAGACTGAACGTGCAATTTTCACTTTCTCTTAACCTTCTCTTCATTTTTCTGATTTTCGACAGAACCCTCTCTCTCTCCCCCCTCAAATTTCACTGTCTATCCTTATCTACTCTTTCTCTATGCTCCTCATTTTCTGACTTCAAATACGTTCACCCAGCATCTAACATCGAGTATCTGTTCAAGCGCACATCGAAGCATTGTTATTGGTTATTGTTAGAAATAAAACTTTGAGCGTGAGATTCTTCACTCATTTTCACCTCGATAGAAGTAATATCTTCGAATGTTTATCGAAATACTTAATACGAATAAAGTTCATTTTTATTGACTTTATTGATTCATTTTGCGTATAGTTCAATTAACAAAATTAATTCTATACTGTACTTATTGTTATGCTATAGTTTCAATATTTTAACCCCGTACACTATGAATAATATAAATTCCAATATCGTACATAGAGGGCACTACAGTTGCGAAGCATGAAAGCAGTATTACGATGTAAGGTTGTATAAGTACAACTGGAATAGGGTATGCAAAATTTAGCGACAGTATTACGAATCTACATATTCAACTGGATATTTCAAAAGAAAATTTAAATTGCAATACAAAATGAATTATATCTTGAGACATCGCTTGTTTCTTGAACGATGTTATTAATAAGTATAATTAATTACAGTTATTGTCAAAGTGGATGTTGATATTCTCGCAAATGTTGTCCGAAACATAGTAAACGTTTTTAAGGTATAGCCAATCGGTAGTTGACTACAATTTTTCTGCGGAATTATTCCGTATTGATTTTCTCGTAAATGGGGTTCTAAAAATTGCAGGTAAGCTTCGTAAATTACCGCAGAGGAAACGAGCATTTCCGCAAATAGGGAGAACTGTTAGCTTTAGAACGTAAATAAAGCTGAATAAAAAGCATCGAATAAGAAATATGATTCGTGACAAATCGTAAATCGATATTTAACTGACATAATTGAATGCAGGTACGAACGTATAAGAACATTATATCCAAACGTTACGCCCTTAGGCGTTGCAGCGAAGTATGTACACGCAAAATATACGGCACAATACACGCGAAAGATGTTTACGTAGGTATCGATTTTCAAACGTGGAATCCATTTGCAAACCAGCAACATAGTCTTGCACTCCAGTCTCGACCTAAATAATTGTACACGGAATGCACAAGAATGTAAACAGACAAAGTTATATTAATGATATGCAAACTGAGGCATGTAAACGTAATAAAAGTACATTTATTTTGCAGATTACGCCGTGTAATACGCCTGCCACGCCGCCAAATTTTCCTGACGCACTTCTAGCGTTTTCCAAAATGTCCGCGGGTGACAAAACTCCCTCGGGTAAGTATCATTGTTATTATTACATCTCTCTCGCATAACTCGTATCCTCCCAAAAATATGTTGAAATTTTTACTCCTAATCGGTATCTAACGATTGTTTTAAAATTGGTTCGCGATTTTCTACTATACATATAACATTTTCCTTTGGTAGATATTGTGCACCAAACAACGTTTCTGTTTTAACCCCTTAACCTATAACAACGTGTCAGACTCGTGGCAAAGGTTTTGGTCAAGATGTGAGGAAAATAGTTATATTAGTAAGAAAAATTCATTGTAATGATAACTTTCATTTTAATTTGTAAGACTGAGGATTACTAAATGTAATTAATTTGTAACAGATTAGTTTTTGTTACCTGGTACATATAACGGATGATTAAAGTTCAGACTACATATTTCTACATTGCAGTGTCTTCCATGGCAGTGCAATGTGCTCGTGAACTTCTCTGACACACCTAGGTTCAATGTTTCTTCTTCTTAATTTACCAATGTGTCGAAAATTATTTTAATATACTACATACACAAAATCAAGACGAATTAGGACGCGATACAATGTTCAACCTTTCTGTATAAGTATCTCTTTGTTCCTAAATATATGAAAATACGGAATGTTAAAATGCCAAGAAACTGATAAACATTTTTGTAAAAGAATTACAGAAAGTAGAGTAGAGCACATTTAAATGTCGTAAAACATGCACGCGTAACTATCGCAAAAGTATTTCCATCAATTCTTGAAACTATTCGCTCGTAGGCCAGAACCGTCGATGCAATTTGCCATACATCGTTGAGGATGATTCACAGATGCGACTGTCGTATTAAAGTAATACCAAGCATGACCGTATTTGAATTAATTTCCACTCTTCCGAAAAATGGTGAATTAGACATTTGTTTATTTGTGCCAGATAAAATGATCAACGAAGTACTTATCCTTGAGCAAATTGAACGAATAAATTCTTAATGTTTAATCTAATTTAATCTACAATTATTAATCTAACTAAGCTAAATTCACTGGGAAAAGAATTAGAATCATGTGAAAAAATTAAAATTCCTTATTACGATAAATTAAGGAGTAATTCTTAGCAAAAATATTTCGTAAAAAGAATTCTGCGAAACTTGCAGGCCTGAAAAATTTTGTCGGATACATATTTTTGCAAAGTTATAGCACTTTATCAACTGATAAAAAAAGCTTGAATAATACGATGCAATTAAGCTTGATTTGAAAAAATTGCATTATTATTATTTTGTTACTTAATCAAAATTATTCCATAGATGAAATACTTTGTGTATTATTCGTTCATTTGATCAAGAATTCAATATTTCTTCGTTGGAATTAAACGAAATAATTAAAATTAATTAACGCGATTAACTTGTCACAGGGAAAAAGTTGTTTGCTTTAAACTATACTTGATTTATGGGTCTTCACTTGAGTTCACTGACAATGAATACTCTTTCTCCATTCGCCAAATTCGCTAATACCCATTTACCGTCTTTCTTTGGCATTCTTTAAACATTTTTATCGAAAAGTTTGACGAACTAAAACCGGCGGCGCGACATCGCCACAATCACTGGAATAGCGTTCTCTTATGCCTGGTTCACACTGGTGTTCGCGAACAGATCGCGAACCGCGTTCGCCAGCGGTATGGATACTTTTGCAAGCAGCGAACATTTTTCTTTCAGGAGGTGATATATCAAAGGGCCTGTCCGCAAGCTGAACTATGCAACTGCTTGAGTTCTGTTCGCGAACAGTTCTGGCCCAATGTGGACCCGGCATTACAAGAAGACCTTACAATTGAACCCTCGGGGATTTAGACAAAATTTGGAGGGGTGAATCTAGAGATCGAAAGATGACATTCTCTAGAATATTTCATTCCAATACATATTTTTTATAAACAATTAAAATTGGTCCTGCAAAAGCTTCGAAGTTTAGTTAGTATTCAAAGATCCGCAGTGAATTAGTGAATAGGGCGAGTACTTTGTAAAAGAAAGGTCTTAGGTTCGAGAGTTCCTTGTAAGTAGCGCAATCTTTTCTCACTTTTATTTGAAATGATAAAATTTCACATTTCATTTGATAAGAACTGTAACTCGTTTATATAAATCTTTATTTCTACGCGTGCGAATGGAATATGTATACCGGGTGAGACCAATAAGAACGGCTATCTGAAATAACTCGTTACCTATGAACGAAAAGAAATGTTATAGTGAAATACAATTGTATTCAGTGAGGTTCGTTGTGAAGAATGCATTTCAATCTTTTCATGTCTTAAATTGCCTAAGATATCAAGGTGACCGCGAGGTTTTTAAATGACACTGCGCTTTTCATTAGTGCTGTATTGTAGCCACTAAAAAGACGAATTTAACGACTTATAATTAGGTGACCTTGAGCCTGAGAACTGTAAAATGTATCGAGAACTAATGTACCACTTACTTTCAATGCTTCTGTTCGAAATACATGTAAAGACTAGTAACGAGTAGCTTCTTCTTTTTATAAACATTCACATGTTTGCTGCGTGGTTTGGAGGATTACTGTACTCCCCGTGTCATGACGTACCGTGCCCCACATTCATTGATGTAAGGAGGTTTGCTCGGTTGCAGGGATATTTTGAAATGTTAATAACTTAACAACGAAGCCTCTAACACAATTTTGTCATTCTTGATTTTCGTTTTATTTCGGCTTGTAGAATCGCCCCTTAAATTTTCTATGAACTCTTGCCGAACATCCTGATATATAACATCTTCGCAATACTCGCTCGACATGTTGTGCAGGCGACGTCGTTGTACGATGATGGAAGTAGTCGGGGCCTATGCTCCAGAGGTTAGCGTGATCATGCTTGATGTAGGTGTTACGAAGTACTCGTGACACGTGTCGCGAAGAAGCATCGTTTGTAGTAATAAAGAAGAGGATTGAATCAGGAGAGAAACTAAAACGAGAAATGCGTTGTACCATTACAGGAATGTCGCCGAACCAAAACGGATTACATCAGAACTCGATGCAGATGGGAACAACAGCGGCGCAACATCACGGGGGACGGTGTAGCGTGAACGGGAACGCGCAACAGCAGACTCAAAGTCAACAATTGGGCCTAGGCGAGCCGCAGAGATAAAAGAAACTGGCGATTCGGCGGCCCGTGCGCAAGATCCCGAGGTCGCACGATGTGCACGATGTAAACGATGTTTAGAAACAGGAGGCATGGTTTAGAAAATGATTGACTGGCTCTCAAGGATTATACGCGTTGTGTGTGACAACGAGAGTGATTATTAGCTGAGATTCACGCACTCGTATCTCCTCATCCCTAGAAGAAGGACGCATGATTTCCTGAATATGTGTGTGCGCATGTCGAGAAAAATCCAAATAACTATTTAAGCGCGCACATCTCTAGAAGAACTGAGATCTTTAATAAAAAGATCCTCATTCTCTCTCTCTCTCTCTCTCTCTCTCTCTCTCTTTTTCCTCTCACTCACTCACTCACTCGCTCATACGCTCCACACTTACTGAATCGCGCGAATAGC